CACCAACGGGAAAATTGGGAGAGCAACGTCTGAAGCTCACCCCGATTACCCCTGAGGCCGCGTATATTCCACTGTAAATAGGCCATGATTGGCAACGATAAAGATACTAGAAATCCGCAGGTAAGGGTACTTACAGACTAGAGGGGTTAGAAAAGTTCACATGCGGTGGCAGCGGAAAACGTTCAAGCAGCGAAGGAACGGTGCACTGTGAAGAAAGGAGTTGCACAGATGGAGAAGAGGAAAGAGAAGGAACAGAGGGTGGATCAGTGTCCATTGATGGTTTGGTCTCTGCAATATATTCAGAGATTGCTTCAAGTGTTTTGGAGTTCAGAGACGTTGTATGGGAGACAACATTGGAAATGGAAGGAGGAGGAGTTTGAGTAAAGATTGGAACTGTAATGGACTGTATCAAGGTAGGGGGAAGGGTGAAAGGGTGGAGGGAACTGGAGAAGTGTGGGAGGGGATAGAAGAGGCAGAAACCTGGGAGGGGACAGGGGAGGAAGGCACAGTATGAGGAGGAGGATGAACCTCCACACTTGTAACCGAGACAGTGAAAGGGGAAGACCCAGGTACAGAGACCGGGAAGGTAAAGTGTGGAGGTGGATGAAGGGAAGGAGGGGTTAAAGGAGATGTTTTTGGACTTCTGAGAAGTAGAGGGATGATTGGGAGGTGGTGTCGTATGAGGTCTTGTCGATACCAGGGTTTGTGAGGAAGAACACGAAGAAGTGAGAACAGACTGAGGTGTTGAAGTAGGGACGTCTGAGCCCAGGACAGCAAAAGAATTAGATACAGGAGTGACTATGGGACTGGCAACCGCAGAGGAGGCTGCAGAAGATGGGACCCCAGAAGTGGGGGGACATTTTGAAACACAAGAATAAGAAACACGGGGTAGTCTCCCTTGGAGGTGGAGATGAGAAACCGCCATAGCATAAGGAAGACCTTCTGCCTCTTTGAGGCAACTAAATTCCCGCTCATTCAAGAAGACCTGGCAACGGCAAGAGTACGAAGGGTGAGCCTCATGACAATTAAGGCAAGAGGGAGGTCGACTGCAAGACGTATTAGAATGGTCATCGGCACCAGACTGGGCATTCGGCTATAGATCTACAATATTTTGCTGGGTGGCCAAATCGCCAGCAATTTCTACACTGTTGCAGTGTAGGGATCACTTTTCGAACTTGTAACCAATGTCCTGCTACATAAACAGAGGATGGGAATTCACGGCTGTCAAAAGTTAAACAAGCCACATTGCAAGGGTATCGTCTCTGCCCGCGGGCAGGAAGAACATAAGTGTCTACCTTGAGAATTGGGAGATCTTCGAGTTCCAGCTGTTCGAGAATGTCATTGCCACATGTCTGGAAATTCTGTTGGACTATGGTATGGGGCAGAATGACAGTACCACTACAAGAATTGAGGGAATGATGTTTTTCGATAGTGATAGGAATAGTATCGATATGTGAAAGAAGAGAAAGATCATGAGCTTGGGTAGCATTCTGGACTGTGATGATACGCGTACCACTCTTAAGAGCATGAAAGGAAATATCTCTACCAACATGGCGTAGGAGCGCTTTGCCATATGGTCGGAAAGATAAGTAGTAGAAGTCTGTCTTAAAGTAAAGAATTTAGTCCATTGTGTGGTCCGAAACTGGGTGTGGAGAGGGAGTGCATGACGTGTCGGTCTTTTCAGAGTAGAATGGGAAGGTAACGAAGTAACGTCATCAGGAGATTGTCATTGGCGTTTAGAAGTGGAACCAGAGTTGGTCCGACGTGGGACGGGCTGGCGATTCGAAAATTGCCGCACCGTGGAGGGAGAGGCCGGAAGCATAGTCAAAGGAGAGCGGAGGTCAGACAAATTGAAGGAGTCAGTCGAAACCCCGGCACCTGAAGCGGGTGACGAAACAGCACCAGCAAGAGGTACAGGGGTCTTAGGAGTGTCCGAAGAGTGGCCAAAAGACGAGGCGAGGTCAGAACAGGGTGCAGTAACAATAAGGGCCCGGGGGTAGCGGGGTCATGGATCGAGTACTCCATGGTTAGGTTACTTCTTTCTTTTTGTTTTTAAGAAAAAAAAAGAAAGAAAAAATAAAAATAAAAAAAAGAATAAAAAAAGGGGGGACTGGGGAGGGATAGTCCCTAGGAGGAATGAAAGGGCCAGAAATCTCCCTCCGCGCCCAAGAGGACCTCAGCACCGCAAGTAGCGCAGATGCAACATGGAACCCATGCCATACCCTACCCTTCATGCCAGTAAACCAGCAATCCGGGATAACAACCTCACATCAGCCGAGCTACCTCGGTGGACAAAAGAGAGGGCGACCGGATATCCGCCACAAAGCATACCTCCTTTGGCCACCACCCCCGGAATCCAAAAGGTGGCTTCCAGAAATACACCCGTTGCCCGAAAGACACCCAAAGCCAGCCTCTGGGATACCGGAGAGGGATCGGGACATCCCCAGGCGATCCAGATTCCACGGCTAACTACACCACCGCCAAGAACCTCAACGGAATGGGATAGACCCCGGTACCCTTTCCCCTACCTAGGAACTAGCACGCCTGTGGGAAAATTCCAAAGGGCAAAAGGGAGAGGTGAGGAGGAGAGGAGGAGGAAAGGAAAAAGGGAAGGATGGGATAGGGAAGGGAGGAATTGGGGGGTAATTAGGTTTGGTCTGAGGAAGGAGACCGACAGGTCTAATTCCTCAGACCAAGAGCCTCTTCACCATGCCAAGGAGCCCCCCTTGAAGGGGAAGAACAAGGTAGTTTGATTTATAAATCAATGATCTCCCAAATACATCTTGTCTAGTCTTGAACCTCTTCTGTTTGCAGACGACACAACTTTTGTCATCTCCCACTCAAATCTGACTTCTCTCAACAACACTGTTAATGAGGAGCTCCTAAAAATATCTATATGGATGACTACTAATAAACTCTTTCTTAATATTGACAAAACCTTCTACATGATGCTTGGAAACAGCTGCAAATGTCCAACTAAATGTAATGATCAGCAGTTCTCCCTTGTAAGACAAACTGAGGGAAAATTCTTATGTCTGCAACTTAGTTTGTACATGAATAGTATTCAGTACTGACAAGATGAGGAATTAGACACACACAACAGCTGGGTATCTTTATTTGTAGGTGTTTTGCCATCAAGGACATAATGGGAAAACTGTAGAACTATATACAAAATATGAGGTAATCAGTCCCATAGCCTTGGAGTTGGTGATGAGCACTGTAGTCTTGAAGACTCTGAAGCACAGGCATGAAGACTGGGCATCAGATGAGGGATGTGCAGCAGATGAAGGCATTGTGCACTGGTAGATGGTATTTCTCGGTGGGAGTACATAGAACATACCCAAGGGATGGACCAGAAGTAAGCAAAAAAGATGTGTAGATGTCCTTTGAACCAAGATTCCATGATGTTGTATCTGACAAGTTGTACATGAATGGTATTCAGTACCAACAAGATGAAGAATTAAGACAGATGCACATGTGTCTAGAAAGAATATAATATGGTTTACACCATATTTTCCACTGTTTTCATTTTTTATGTGATAACTTGACTGTCAGCTCTCACTTGAAGCTTCAGCATTTGTGTATCTCATAAGAGGAAGGTTCACGTTGTAGCCAGGCAGTGTGACCCACTAATCAGTTTTGGGATCTTTTGGAATTGCAACAATGCTCAATAAGGAGAAGTGTACACTCCTGTACTCTAATAGTAGCCCTGTAATGTTATGGCCCAAGAAGTTCTTTTGCTAGAACCAATTTTCTGAAATTCGGGGATTTTTTTTTTTTTATGTACTGTAGTACAGTATACTGTATCCCAGAAACATTTATACAAAATTTCTTTAGAATTTATATGCACTCTTCACACCATTGACTTAAACTATATATGTTTATATGTGAATATATTATAGGTAGTAGGTTGGTAGACAGTGGCCGCCCAGGGAGGTACTACCGTCCTGCCAAGCGAGTGTTAACAGAAGCCTGTAATTGTTTTGCATGATGGTAGGATTGCTGGTGTCTTTTTTTTTCTGTCTCATACACTTGCAAGATTTCAGGTACATCTTGCTACTTCTACTTACACTTAGGTCACACTACATATATATACACACCCCTCTGGGTTTTCTTTTATTTTCTTTCTAGTTCTTGTTCTTGTTTATTTCCTCTTACCTCCATGGGGAAGTGGAACAGAATTCTTCCTCCGTAAGCCATACGTGTTGTAAGAGGCGACTAAAATGCCGGGAGCAAGGGGCTAGTAACCCCTTCTCCTGTATATATGTATTACTAAATGTAAAAGGAGAAACTTTCGTTTTTCCTTTTGGGCCACCCCACCTCGGTGGGATATGGCCGGTGTGTTGAAAGAAAGAAATATGAATATATTTGACTTGTACCATAATTTAGGATGTAAATAGCACTGTCCTTCAGATTCAGAAAATTGGGAATGAAATCATAAAATTTCTTTAATTTCATTTGCAAATGAGACCAGTTTTGTAATGATCCACTGTCATTGTTGATCCAGATTGCCAAGACAGTTACTGTACCCTGTTTGAAAAAAAAAAATTCTGCTATAGCATGTACAGTTTCGAAAATATTGAATCTCTTGTGGCCTCAAGGAATGTGTGTATTGAGTTGAAGATTTGTTTACTTCTTGTTCCTCCACTTACTAAAGGGGAGACTCTTTCTCCCAAAATTAATTAAAGCAAAGTTTAGTGTCTATGCAGGTTGGCATTTTAAATGACCAGTATATTGATGCATTTTTATTAATTGGAGAAACCAGAGGATGCAAAGTGATAATTTTGGGACTAGTTCCTACAACTGTTTCTCTTTGAAATATGCTGGGATAGAAGGGCATTACTCAGGATGGCATTTACTTTGCTTATTTGCAAGACAAATTTATCTGGTTTTGAAGGTGATTCTGTTGATTCAACATATTTAGTACTGTGCCCCAAAACTTTCTCGAGAGCTGACATATGTTGTCTATTCCCAGTCTAATTTCTGGTCTATTTTCTCAGGGTGTGTGTCATAAAATCTGTAGACTGCACTACAATAAGTGGCTTCTGTGTACACGAGTGTGAAGGAAGCAGTAGAATGGGGTCCAGACCAAGGAGATACATATTTACTGGGCACTCCAATGGAGCTATTCAGATGTGGGATCTCACTACTGCCCTCGAGTTAAGTAACAAGGGTGATACAGGTGAGTTGAAGAGAAACACTCTTAAGTGAATGACTATACGAAGCATCAAAAATGAGTTGCTAAAGGTGATGGTGAGGTTCGGTAGAAGTAATTGATTTTAAAATGCTAACACTAAATACTAGTTGAAAATTAATATAATAATTTTTTGGGAAAATTATTGGTATACTACAGCACAACCCTAAGATTAAAGTTTCATCTTGCAGGACTTTCTTCTAGAATTAAAATTAATACACAGGGCTAGTTCTTACAAAAGGGGAATGTCTACAGTATTCATACACTTTCTCCTGGTCTATTTCTGAGTTTTACATCTTTCCAACTCATCAGGTGTTGTCATCGATCTCTGTATATAATGAAAGCAAGTGTGTTGTAGATCACACTAGTATACTTGTGAAAAATTATGTGCTGTGGCTGGAGTTAGACAAATTCTGTAAAATATACAAGGATTTTATGTGCCTGATCATTTGCCTGTCTTGCTTGACCTGTCTTTTCAAGGGAGGGGGGATGTTTTGATGCTAGTAAAGGACTTTGACATATAGAAATGGAGCTACTCTCCTCTTCATTGAATCAAACTGGATTACCCCTAACCTTCCCATTCCTTAGGCACTGTATGACTTACAAGTTTACCTTCTTCATGAATATAATCCTATAAGTAACCAGCTCCACTTATTTTGTTAAGATTTGATGAAGGCGTAAGGTGAAACAGTCTCGGTTTATTTGCAAACTGTTCCACTCGCCCTAAACTTATTGAGGATATGTGCAAGACAGTATGGTTTGAATAAAACTATAACTGGAAGAATGCACAAGTGAATGCAAGAGAATCCATATAAAAAGCTAAGAGCAGAGATTCACAATTGTTACAGGAATGTTAAGTTCTAATTTATAAAGATTATTATTGAAGATTCAGGTGAATGGTTATTATTATGCTTGTGAAGTCTACAAGTAACAATATTATATTAAAATTAACCCAAAATTTTGAGAGGGAACCTTAGACAATGTTTTGATCCATCCTGGCCTATTATGAAGCTACTCAAAAGTGAATACTGGACCACAGTGAACTGATATAAGTCTTAAGTTTCCTCTTTAAATTACTGATGCTATGAAACTGAAAGGTGAATGCATCATTGTTAAAAACTGTACATCAGAGATGGGTAGTACAGTATAGCCCATGGTTTAACAAGGCTTGAAATTTAGGAGTTTCAAGTAAGCCCTTGGTAATTCAGATATTTATGACTGCATTCCTGCATCCTCTGAAAATATCTGATAAAGTTCTAGGATGCATGTTTTATTTGTTTGGTCAGAATCTTCCTAAAGCTTCAGTATTAAGTATGATTGGAAATCTAATGGATCAGACCTGTCGAACATGGGATGTGTTCACTTTCTGTAGTGTGAAATGCAGATTGTTACATAACTATACCTCTAGTTCCAATTCCTTGCATCAGGGACCCTTTGTCATCTAGGTACACTCCTTTTATAGCCCAGCTTGTGCATTGTGCTGCCTTTGTGATGTGGTTAAATGTCATACTGAAGAATGATGGTTATTGTGCATTATGTACAGTAATGCATTGGACACAGACTTCCTACAGTAATTAAAAAAAATAGATACAAGGAGGCTAATTCACAGAATCGAGTCAAATGTTAAGATGTATTCAAAGCTTTCAGTTGTTCTGCTGGAAATAATTGGAGAAACTGGCTATGCACCACAGGTATTTATTGTACATGAAACTAGGTTTTCTTTCATGGTTGGGGTTGGCTCAGACTTTGGAATATATGCCATAAAGGCATTATAGAGAATATTCTAGTGCTAATGGAAGCACCAACAGCCTCACTGGCCAGTGTCAACCAGGAGACCTGGTCTTATTCATTTATTTTATTGAGCACTAAAACCACAGGGGTCATACAGCATCTTAGGAAATGTGAGTCACTCAGATTCAGTTCAAGGAGAAAGAGCTAGTGTACCATAGTTCTAATTATGGAGGCATGGCCTGAGACTAGGCAGACATTTAAAATGCTATTTAATGGACCTTATAGAATTAAGTAGCATTGCAATACTTTGCTCATGAACCTATGGCTCAGATGCATGCCTATTTGTGGCTGTATGGGGTCCAGTCTTAGCTGGCCTTGAAATGGTAGCTCTTGGCTTTGCAGTTTACCTCTTGTCTTATTGACAAACCAAGTTATAATTTTATATAGGCCAAACAAATCTCCAAGGAAAATGCCTTGTGTCAGCAGTCATGTATACCTGTTATAGCCATTACTGTTCCCATGGCATGGGTATGTTTGGGGTCAAGTCTCTGACCCCAAGCTTTCAAAGCCCACATGCCCTGAATGCCAGTACAGTCAAGAGAGAGAGAGAGATAAGCAGACATTCACAGGGAGGCAGTTTATAAGTATCTTCAATTAACCTGGAGCAACCACAGGCAAATTTCATTTCACCTCCCACTCAATGAAGAAACCCATGGGACCTGTCTCGACACTTGTGCCTAAAAAAATACAGTAATCATACTTAACACATGTTCCAGCATCTTTGATGCACTGTTCATTCCAGGAGCATACATTATTATTATTATTACAGTCATAATTAAGTGCTAAACCCACTAGGGTCACATACAGTACATACCTTTTTACCTATGTAGTGCAACTACTACAAAATGAAGGCATTTCAAGAAGCACTTGCAACATTTGTTCTAGATTTGGTTTGTAGCTCCTGGCTCTGCCTCTTAACTGTTATTGACTGATTTTGCCATTTCCCATCCTTCAGGGTTAATCATGTCTAGTTTTGAAACTGTGTATAGGGTTTACCTCATTCTTATTGTTTGTGCTGAAAAACAGATTTCACTTGTGAAGCATACATTTCTAAATAGTATACACATCAGCACGTCAGGTATTAAATACGTTCACGCATGCTTGCTGGAAGTCCAAGCCCCTCGCACACAAAACCTCCTCTACCCTCTCCCTCCCAACCCTTCCTAGGCCAACCCCCTACCCCGCCTTCCCTCCACTATAGATTTATACACTCTTGAAGTCATACTGTTATGTTCCATTCTCTCTACGTGTCTGAACCACCTAAACAGCCCCTGCTCAGCCCTCTGGATAATAGTTTTGGTAATCTCATACCTTCTCCTAATTTCCAAACTATGAATTCTCTGCATTATATGCACACCGCACATTGCCCTCAGACATGACATCTCCACTGCCTCCAGCCTCCTCCTCGTTGCAGCATTCATCACCCATGCTTCACACCCATACAAGTGTTGGTACAACTATACTCTCGTATATTCCCCTCTTTGCTTTGATGGACAAAGTTCTTTGTCTCCACAGACTCCTAACTGCACTACTCACCCTTTTCCCCTCATCAATTCTATGATTCACTTCATCCTTCATAGACCCATCTGCTGACACATCCACTCCTAAATATCTGAATACATTCACCTCCTCCATACTCTCTCCATCCAATCTTTCATCACCTAATCATTTTATCCTCATCACCTTATTCTTTCCTATATTCACTTTTAATTTTCTTCTTTTACATACCATACCAAATTCATCCACCAACCTCTACAACTTCTCTTCAGAATCTCTCAAAGGCACAGTGTTATCAGCAAAGAGCAACTGTGACAACTCCCACTTTGTATTGGATTCTTTATCTTTTAACTCCACACCTCTTCCCAAGACCCTTGCATTCACTTCTCTTACAACCCCATCTACAAATACATTGAACAACAGTGACATCACACATCCTTGTCTAAGGCCTACTTTTACTGGGAAATAATCTCCCACTTTCCTACATACTTTAACCTGAGCCTCACTATCCTCATAAAAACCCTTCACTGCTTTCAATAACCTACCTCCTATACCATACACCTGCCACATTGCCCCCCAATCTACCCTGTCATATGCCTTTTCCAAATCTATAAATGCCACAAAATCCTCTTTACCCTTATCTAAATACTGTTCACCTATGTTTCACTGTAAACACTTGGTCTACACACCCCCTAACCTTCCTAAAGCCTCCTTGTTCATCTGCTATCCTACTCAATGTCTTACTCTTAATTCTTTCAATAACTCTACCATACACTTTACCATGTATACTCAACAGACTTATTCCCCTATAATTTTTGCACTCTTTTATATCCTTTACCTTTATACAGAGGAACTATGCATGCTCTCTGCCAGTCCCTGGGTACCTTACCCTCTTCCATACATTTATTAAATAATAGCACCAACCACTCCAAAACTATATCCCCACCTGCTTTTAACATTTCTATCTTTATCCCATTAATCCCAGCTGCTTTACCCCCTTTCATCCTACCCACTGCCTCACGAACTTCCCCCACACTTGCAACTGGCTCTTCCTCACTCCTACAAGATGTTATTCCTCCTTGCCCTACACACGAAATCACAGCTTCCCCATCTTCATCAACATTTAACAGGTCCTCAAAATATTCCCTCCATCTTCCTGATACCTCTGTGTGAACAGCTTTTAGATAAAGGTAGGGAAGTTTTCATTGCATTTAGAAAAAGCATACGATAGTGGATAGGGGGAGCAATGTGGCAGATGTTGCAAGTATATGGAATAGGTAGTAAGTTACTAAATGCTATAGAGAGTTTTTATGAGGATAGTGAGTCTCAGGTTAGGGTGTGTAGATTATTATGGGGGAGCGCTAAACCCGTAGGATTATACAGCACATATGGGGGAATGGGAGGCATTCAGGCTCAATTCAGGGAACTGGAGCACAGATCCAATTCCCTAGATCAAGAGCCCCTCAGCAGCATCAGGGAACCTCCCTTGAGGGGTAGGGCGTGTAGAAGAGAGGGAGATTACTTCCCGGTAAAAGCAGGTCTTAGACAGGGATGTGTAATGTTACCACGGTTGTTTAATATATTTATAGATGGTGTTGTAAAAGAAGTACATGTTAGAGTGTTGGGGAGAGGGGTGGGATTAAATTATGGGGAATTGAATACATAATGGGAGTTGACAGTTACTTTTTGCTGATAATACT